ACACACACACACACACACATACCGGACAGCCTCTCAGTCCTTAGCCGCTAACGTTAGCTCATGTACAACACAGGTACCACACAGAAACTTTTACAAAGGGTCATAATGTGCTTCTAGTGACTGTCAAATCGCCAGCGAAAGATGTTTTAAATGCGGACACGGAGAGAAGAGCGATAGATAAGAACAGCCTGCTGCCTGCTCTCATGGGACAAAGATCCTCAGAGAAGAAAGACGGATCACTCTGCTCTGCCGCCAGGAACAAACTGGGAGGCAAAGATCCTCTCTGAGGAAGACGGTTCACTTTGCTGCAGGGTTCACCAAAATGTTTTTTTGTTTTTTTCTTTTAATAAATTGAACACACATTAAAGAACATACAAGATCCTGTACAGAATTAATACATATAATACAATACAATAAACACTGTTAAATTAAATGAAGGAAGAGGATTTTTGTAAAGGCAAATTAAATGTTGGGGATTTATGTAAAATGTACGTAGACATATAAACAATTATATAATTAAAGATATGTAGGCTATGTTAGGTGAATACTCCTGTTAAATGCATGATGTTGAAATGTTTAATTTTGATCTTCCTTAGTCCATTTAGACTTTATTTTATCATAACAATAACAATGAATATTATGAATTGTTCACATTTTAATTTAATTTTAATAACATTTATCACCCAGCATTTTGTGGAAAAGTCAAATGTCCAGTTTACAGTTTTAATAAACTCAGTACAGTTTTTCAACACATATATTGTTTTGTCTTCATTCAGTGTAGTTGCACATATTGTTATTGCGCCATTGGTTTTGGCCTTGGTGCCGCAATAAATTTGTATTTATCAAAGGCCAAAGTGGCCTTGCCCTAAAAATGACTTAATTCCAGGCCTGGAATACCTACCTCAGAAAAATGTTGTTCAACATTGATATTATTGTTAAAATTGTTCAAAAGCTGTAAGAGAAGAGAAGAGACTAAGTTTATTGTTTTTATTGTTTTTATGGTCAGTGTCAGGCTGTCAGCTGTTGCATTTAAGCTAAAAACAGGAGTGTTCCCTCTCTGCTGACCAGAGTTTATGTGCCTTGTGTCTCTTGTATCAGGCACAATCATAGGCTTTGTTATTTAATGATATTTTTTTATTATTTATTTATAATTTTTGTTACTTTTCCTTTTGTATCAGGAAATAAGCACAATAAATCTTTATGTTGAAAAAAATCGTGAGAGAATCGTGATCTCAATTAAAAGCCAAAAAATCGTGATTCTCATTTTTTCCAGAATCGTGCAGCCCTATGTGAGACTCACCGTCACTGGACTCCACCTCACTGCTTTCCTCCTCTTCTTCTTCTTCTTCTTCTTCTTCTTCTTCTTCATCATCATCATCTTCATCCTCCTCCTCCTCCTCCTCCTCCTCTGCCTCCTCCTCCTCTGCCCCCTCCTCCTCCTCCCTCAGGTGGAGGTGTTGCTGCAGAGTTTCCCTCCATGAAGCTTTGGCCTCTTCTGATGTCACACGATGTCGACAGCTGCCTTCCTCCTCCTCTTCCTCCATCTCCGACCCTGAACTGAAAACAGACAGTTCACACTGAGTCTCAGCCGACGTACGGAGGATCAATACTGACAAATCAATCAATACAAACATATATGGAGGATCAATACTGACAACACAATGGTTATAAAGATATCTCAGTAACATAAAAAATACTAAATCATATGTTTCAAGTTAGAATTATGTTATGTATGCCAGAGTTTTTGGAGACTGATCAGAAGGATCAGCATACATAACATAATTCTAACTTGAAACATAATGTGTTGAATATAAATTTGAATAATTTAATAATTATTGTATAATAATTTAAATATATTATTTTATAATTTAATTTATAATCTAAAATTACACTTCAGATTTTACGGGTGATTTTTTTTATTTAAAAATGCTAACTGTGATGTAAAAAGTCAAAAATACATTTAAAAATATTTTGCATGGAATTTTTATTTAAATTAAATTTGAAACAACAAAGGTCAAAGGTCAAAGGTTTTGACTTTTAGTGTCTGGTTGTTTATTTGTGACCTAAAAGCCCAGATTCAGAAACTGAACCTTAAATTGTGACACGAAGAAACATTTGACTTTTATTTTTTACGTCTCTTCTCTCTGTCGATTATTTTATTTATTTTCCTGTCAGTCCATGTTTTTGTATTTCTTCGTGGCGTTAACAACTCTCCATACGGAGCAGACTCAGACCTGGATCTGTGGCGGACCTTCTCGTCCATGCTCAGGTTGAAGCGGTTCAGCGTCTCCTCTGACACCTCCTCTGGCTCCTCCAGAAGCTCCGCCTCCACCTTGGTCGAGCTGCGGCGGTAGTTCTCCAGCTCAATCCTCTCGGGTGTCGCCGCCATCACAGAAACCACTGACGACACACCAACACAGCCGCACACACACACAGACACACACAGAAACACACACACACTAAAGCCCACATTGATTCCAGTTTAAGGAGCGCGCTCAGTGTGACACACATGAAGACATGACATGACGCAGGTGACGTGGACTCACCTGAGGAGCGCCGACGTTCTGCTGAGATCAGAGAGTCTGCAGAGGAGCCTGACGGGGCTGAACACAGAGACGCCTGTGGACGAATCAATCACACCCTCTGATCAATCATCTGATGAGGTTATTGATCGTTTTAAATGTGAAGCTGATGAAAGTTTCTGAGTCCAAATGAAATCTGGATTTGAATTTAAGGTTTGAATTTGTGAATCTTAATCGGTCAGAAAGTTTCCTTACGACTGATGTGCGGTGTGAGGTGCCTCTGTCGGACGGCGTTGACCTCCTCTTGGCAGTCGGGGCGTTGAGTCGAGAGTCGTAGTGCTGCAGACAGTAAAACCTCCCTGAAACATCAGAACACACAGCGAGCGTCAGCTCCTCTTATACCAACATTCAAACTCACTCCCGCCTCACACTTCAAACTGTGCCCATGAGACCGCTGCGCTCTGATTGGCTGCTGAGAACTGATCTATATTTCCTGAAGGTCAAACACACAGGACCAGCTTTGTTTATGCATAGTGTGTACACACACACACACACACACACACACACACAGATAGATCTGTGGTGGTGGTAACGCTTGAGGCTCCAACTGTTCACACAGACACAGTCGCAGGTCACATGACAGCATCATGTGGTTAACCAGTGATGGGTGGCGAGCTGCGGTGATCAGCGTGAAATCAGAGAGACAGATGGAGCGATGACTGATCAGCTGATTGATCCAGGACGAACAGGAGCAGGACTTCAGACAGGAAGTCAGAAGGTACAGAGAGACAGATGGAGCTGATTCTGGTTCGAGTCTGAATATAATAATTTCATCAAGTTGATATACACTCAGTGGCCACTTTATTAGGTACACCTGTTCACCTGCTTGTTAAAGGAAATGGCCACTTTATTAGGTACACCTGTTCACCTGCTTGTTAAAGGAAATGGCCACTTTAGAATGAAAATACAGACAGTACTTACTGACCCTCATGCCCACAAGAAGTCCAATGTAGTTTTTAATCCACAAAACTCGTTTGGGGTATCGGAGGATATTCTTGCAACTCATCAGCTGTATTCAGCATCTGACTTCTGGCAGACGCCGATACAGCCTCTGGGGACAGACCCCCGATTTTTTGGCATTCCGGTTTGATTTGGGCGGAGGAGGCGAATTTCCGTTTCCGACCTCCGTTTATATATAAGTAAATATGCTGAACCATTGCGATGGATTCAGAGTTTGCAGTGACGCCAATTATGTTCCACCTCGTTAGTTCACCACACAGAGCGTTTAACCTGGCAACAACTGCAGCCGGCTGAAACGTGATTGGTCAATATCATGCAGACTACAAACAGCCTACAACCGGAAACCAGGGCTCTTCCGCTCTTCTTCCAGAGGCAAGATCTCCGGGGTTTTGCCTACAGACTCTACATTCACTGAATGTAGATTCTGTATGTAGAGACAAATCGGAGGATAACACCTAGCTGGAATAACAGCTACACTTGAAGTGCATGGAACCCACATTTTGAAAATGTAATAAAACTCCGGGGCGGCACGGTGGTGTGGTGGTTAGCACTGTCGTCTCACAGCAAGAGGGTTGCCGGTTCGATCCCGGATGTGGGAGCCCTTCTGTGCGGAGTTTGCATGTTCTCCCTGTGTCAGCGTAAGTTCTCTTCAGGCACTCCAGCTTCCTCCCACAGTCCACAGACATACAAACTGGGGACTAGGTTACTTGATCACTCTAAATTGTCCGTAGGTGTGAATGTGAGTGTGAATGGTTGTCTGTCTCTATGTGTCAGCCCTGTGATAGTCTGGCGACCTATCCAGGGTGAACCCTGCCTCTCGCCCGATGTCAGCTGGGATAGGCTCCACCCCCCCGCGACCCTCAAGAGGATGAAGCGGTTAGAAGATGAATGAATGAATAAAACTCCGCTAATGCATTTCAAAAACGTCAGAACGGCTCATCCGTCGTAATCCAAGTGCCCTGAAGCCGCAGCATGCAACACTGACTTGAAAAGACGTAAGTTACTCCACTTTTATAGCATCATTTCTCACCGTGGTCAGTTAGCCTGCAGGCTGCTGTGTTTACATGACAACTCGTGCGAGACTCAAGAACTAGCACCACCACTAGCCATCAGCAAGTCTTGCGCGAGTTGCCTAGTGGTGGTGCTAGTTCTTGAGTCTCGCACGAGTTGTCATGTAAACACAGCAGCCTGCAGGCTAACTGACCACAGTGAGAAATGATGCTATAAAACAACAACAACAACAACAAAAAACAACATTAGGCAACAACTACAAGGTTTTATTATTTGGCCTCTGAACTGAGAACCACAAGCAGTGTTTCCTGCCATTATATTAGGGGGTGCCCCGCCCCCCCAACAGCACCCCCCACCGCCCCTTGAAGGTCAAGTTAATTTTAATTAATGTTATTTCCTATATAGCTCCAGATCACAACAGATGTCATGTAAGGTTACCTTTCCGGCTCGGGCCACATTTACCTGACAGAAAACATCCCGAGTCCAACGCAGTTTGTTACCTGACATAGTTATTGTTAAAGTTAAAGTTATCTTTAACATCTCTAGCTAACGTTAGCTAAAGATAGCCTAACGTTAGCTCCTAGCTGCGTTGTTCATCATGTCACCTTGTTTGCTGGGAGTTCATTAGCCTATTTTGTTCTAGTTTTGTACTTTGGTGATCGTACATCATTGTTAGCTGTTGTCCAAAGGGCTCTAGTTAAGCTAACGTTAACTTCTGGAGCTTAGCTTCATTAACTTATCTGTAATGGCAGAGATAACAAAGGTTGGCAAACGTTATGCTGAATGATTCAGTGTAAATACTGTAGCACCAAACTAACGGAGAGACACTCTTGGTAATGATGGTAAAAAGGCCGTTATCCTTTTCTCATATTCTGAGCCAAAAACCTTAACTTCAGTGGCACTTTAACTTGTTGTCTTTGATGGTGACGGCAACCAGATGCGGTTCACAAGCGTACACTGTGACCTGTAAATTTTGGCTTGTAATTTATTTTTTTATTTCAGTTTTAATTACTGAATATCTGCTGAGATAAAGTGCTGCTGTCCTGTGTGCAGATAAAGAGCCTTTATAATGTGTCCTGTTCCAACAGACAGCAGTCATGAGTTCATCCTGACCTCAGGCTGCTGAACATAAAGACTCTCACACAGTCATCAATAAATAATAAATCATAAAGACTCCACTGCGAAGGTCAGACGGTGCAGACTAAATCCTGATGATCATAGACTAAATGCTGATGATCACAGACTAAACACTGATGTTCACAGACTAAATGCTGATGATCACAGACTAAACACTGATGATCACAGACTAAATCCTGGTGCTCTCCACAGACTAAATCCTGGTGCTCTCCACAGACTGTGCTGGTTACAGAATAAAATAATATATTTATTAAAATTTTGTTGTTTGAATTAAAGTCTGTTGTTTTAAATACCTGATCATCTCTCAGACTCTGACAGGCTCATACACAGACGGTGGTTCAGTGAGACTTGATGAGACTGGGTGAGACATGGTAGGACTGGGAGAGACTCGATGAGACTCTGTGAGAGTCAGTGAGACTGCGTGAGACTCACGGTTGTGTTGGTCAAAGGCGTACGCCGCCAGGCGCAGCGTAGAGCCGCAGTGGAAACACTGGAAACAGCTGCGATGGAAGAACAAACTCTCTGCGCTCAGACGCTCCATCAGGTACACTCGTCTGTGACAGAAGAAACACATGTCACTGCTGCCGCCGCCGCCCACCTGGAGACACACACAGGTACACACAGGTAAACGCAGACAGACTGACAGAACGTGTCCTGACAAAGCAGGTGCAGTGACATGTCCTCAGCTGATGAGACTCCTTCACGAACACATCACCTTGGTGTCAGCGGGGGGGGGGGGAAGGGGCAGGATGTCATGTCCAGCTGCAGGCTGATGTGCAGTCAGCTGTCCTCTGATCAATAGACAGTATTCATGTTCTCTGACTGTCTCTTATTGATCTGAACTCTGATCACATGACACACAGAGCCCTGCAGAGCTTCAGGAATTAGACCGAGCCGCAGGACACAACAGCTGCTCACTGTTCATTCAGTTTTATAACACACACACATGTTACTGCCACACTGACCTACATACACACCACATACACACACCACATATACACATCACATATGTACACACAGTATGTACACAGTCTAACAGAGACACAGCACAGATACCCAGAATGCCGTGCGGCAGGCGCCATACCTGCTCATCCCTGCTGACGACGGACTGAGACCTGACCTTCTCTCTGAACCGAAAACTCATCTGTTCCTGCTGAAGAGTTCGTTTCCTCTGAGACACCGAGGCGTTTCCATGGAGACACACAGAGGACACCGAGACGTTAACGTGTGGACACTCAGTACTAGTCTGCTGGTCTGTACTGGTCTCTACAGGTCTCTGTTGGTCTCTTCTGGTCTGTACTGGTCTCTATAGGTCTCTACAGGTCTCTACTGGTCTTTACAGGTCTCTGCTGGTCTCTGTTGGTCTGTACTGGTCTCTACTGGTCTTTACAGGTTTCTGCTGGTCTCTTCAGGTCCCTACTCAGGGTCTGACGTTAAGGTTTTTTCCTACTTGCCCCTACTTGCAAGTACTTCTCAAATCTACTTGCCCCATCTAAATTCTTACTTGCCCTGCTTTAGAGGTTCTTTTTCTGGCTGTGTGGTTTCGCTCATGACTTATATCTTACGTCAGCAGAGACGCTCAGCCAATGGAGGCAGCAGCACACTGCAACTGGCCCCTCCGAGGACAGAAACAGGAGAGGAAATACACGATTACAGGCCTGGAGTTAAGATATTTTTAGGGCAAGGCCACTTTGGCCTTTGATAAATACAAATTTATTGGGGCATCACGGCCAAAATGTGGGGCATCACGGCCAAAACCAATGGCACAATAACAATATGTGCTAACTACATTGAATGAAGACAAAACAATGTATGTGCTGAAAAACAGTACTGAGTTTATTAAAACTGGGTGTGCATGACTGGGGATATATCTCGTTTCTTGTTTTGATTCATGTCCCTTATTTTTTAAGTCTTTGAAATCTCTTTATTCTTTTGTTATCTCCTAGTTATTAAGAAATTATTATTAGAAGAAGATTCTTTATTGTCCTTTCTCAGCACATTACATATATTTGACCTCTGCATTTGACCCATCCTACTGTATACACTGGGAGCAGTGGGCAGCCGCAGTGCAGCGTCCGGGGACCAACTCCAGTTCTTTTGCCAATGCCAGTGGTCAGGGTCACTGACAGGTGTATTCACCTAACATAGCCTACATATCTTAAATTATATAATTGTTTATATGTCTACGTACATTTTACATAAATCCCCAATATTTAATTTGCCTTTACAAAAATCCTCTTCCTTCATTTAATTTAACAGTGTTTATTGTATTGTGTTATATGTATTAATTCTGTACAGGATCTTGTATGTTCTTTAATGTGTGTTCAATTTATTAAAAGAAAAAAACAAAAAAACATTTTGGTGAACCCTGCAGCAAAGTGAACCCTCTTCCTCAGAGAGGATCTTTGCCTCCCAGTTTGTTCCTGGCGGCAGAGCAGAGTGAACCGTCTTTCTTCTCTGAGGATCTTTGTCCCATGAGAGCAGGCAGCAGGCTGTTCTTATCTATCGCTCTTCTCTCCGTGTCCGCATTTAAAACATCTTTCGCTGGCGATTTGACAGTCACTAGAAGCACATTATGACCCTTTGTAAAAGTTTCTGTGTGGTACCTGTGTTGTACATGAGCTAACGTTAGCGGCTAAGGACTGAGAGGCTGTCCGGTATGTGTGTGTGTGTGTGTGTCCGAGTCGGTGCTGCTTGCCCAATCGGGCATGTCTGCACAGGGTCTATGCTGGCCCGCCGGCTGTTTTACCTGCCTCTGGCATTCGGGCAACCATTAATGTCGGACCCTGCTACTGGTCTCTCCTGGTCTCTACTGGTCTCTGCTGGTCTCTGCTGGTCTCTACTGGTCT